CCAAAAGACCTAAATTCATGTTCAGACACTAGCATAAATGGAGAGCTAACAGAATGCATTGCCTCTTTCCAAAACTCTTTGTAGCTTTGACTTCCAACACCATTCAAAATTCCAGCTTCAAAATGTCCACAGAGACTCAAAGAAAATTCTTACCTGAGAGTTGCCATGAAAATAAAACAAAATAGGGCTGGAAAGGTGGCTCAGTGGTAGAGTACTTGACTTGCATGCATGAGGCCCTGAGTTCAATTCCTCAGCACCACATAAGTAGAAAAAGCTAGAAGTGGGCACTGTGGCTCAAGTGGTAGAGTGATAGCTTGAGCTGAAATGCTGAGGGACTGTGCCCAGGCTGAGTTCAGGCCCCATTACCAACAAAAAAAAGTAAATGTATTTTTTAAAAAAAAAGAAAAACCAATTATATGCCAAGTATAAAGGCACATGCCTTTAATTAAAGCTACTCAGAGTGAAGACAGTAGGATCACAATTCTAGGGAAGCCTGAGTAAAAGCACTAGACCCTATGTGAAAAGAAAAAACTAGGATGGTCCAGTTTTAAGTGGTAGAGTGTTTACTAGGACAGTATGAAGCTTTGGTCCAATAAAGAAGAGGAAGTGAGGAAGAGAAGAAGAAGAGGAAACAAAGAGGTGGAGTAAGAAGAAGGAAGAAGAGGAAGAGGAGAAAAAGGAAGTATAGAAAGAGCAACAATGAGGAGAAAGAAGAGAAAGGAAGAAGAGGAAGAGGTTGACAGAGAGGATGAGGAGCACCATATCTTCAATATATAATAACATGGTGTAAACATTCCTATTCCAAAACAAAAGAATTGGAGAAAAAGGAAAAAAATGGATCAGTAACCCAATTAATTGATCAAGAATTTGACTTGAAATTTCTTAATCGAACAATGTGTAAACAGACAAAAGCATTAGCACCTGTAAAATCACTTATAAAATAGAAATGAGATGTCATTTCATACTCACCAGAATGGGTAAAAGATGTGCATTAGAAGGTTTGACAAGGATGTAAAGAAATTGAAGCTCTCATACATTGTAAAATAGCACATTCATCTTGGAAATTAGTGTAAAAGTTCCTCACAAAGTTAGTTACAGAAATACCAAACAGCCTAGAAACTTTGTACAGCCTAGAAACTTTGTCTATAATTTTTATACACTTAAGTACAAAACAGCAATATTATCCATGACAGCCAAAGAACTGAAAAAAAAATTCACTCTGACCAATAGGAAAACAGTTCACAAAACATTTTATACTCATGAAATAGCCCATTATCAAGTAAAAAAGAGAAATGGAGAATTGATATTAGTGGAAACACTGAAAACAGACTAGATGGAAAGAGCCAGACACAAAATAACACATAAAATGATTTGATTTTAATGAAATTTTGAATTATCAAAATCAGGCATAACATTAGTTTCTTTGGGGTTGGCAGTCTAAGGAGAATTCAGAATAGCTGCAGACAGGTATGAGATTTCTTTATGAATGATGAATATTTGAGAATATTCCAAGGTGATGAAGATTGAATACACTTTCAGAATTCAAAGAATCCCTAAATTTTATAGAATTAATTTAACAAATATAACATTTTTCAATTACACATAAAATGATTTTTCAAAGGGATACTAGATCATCTTTAACCAGCAAACGTGTTCTACCATGAAAGTAGACATATAATATAGCAAAGTGGTAGAAAGCAGGAGCAAGTAAAAAAAAATCAATGCATAGGCTACAAAATTAAGAAAAATCAGAGAATAAGTGTTTGGGAGAGATGAATGGAAATATTAAAAATGGATTAAAGTGATCAAGATGCATTGTATTCACAAACTACTTTAATGAATGGCAGCTCCTTTCTTCAACTATTCAAATAAAATATTTTAAAAACTAGCAAAAAATAATTAATTAAACAAAAATAAATAATGAATAGATAAATAAAATACAATAAAAATAAAATATAGATCTATAACAGTATAGGCCAGAAATTTAAAACACAAACAAGAATAAAGTAGTTTTGTTGGTGCTTCTAGATATATAAGGTAGAAAATTTTGACTACATCTAATTTATTGAGTTCTTTTGTCAATGGCATTAATTATGCCAGTAGTAAAAATAATCATGTAGTTCTGAAATGAGCAACACAGTATCTAGGATATTACTAATTACTAATGCAAAGATAGATGCAAAGAAAGATAATGCAAAGATAGATGGAATAGTATATGTTTGTATGATTAGATAAAATGTCAGAATGATGTCTGAATGTAACATAGATATCACAGAAATAAACAGTAGAAATTTAAATGTATAAGCTAGGGTATTACAACATGATTACAGCAAGTGATTTATCTTTTTTTTCTGGAAATGAGAGAAAAATAAAAGCAACAGTGCACAGTACAACAGTCAAAAACTACCAAAAGTGGTCAAAGTGACAAATACTACTTTTAATCCTATAATAGGAAGGTGAAGTCACCCTAAAAATCACGTGTGGGAAGATAAACCAAGACTGCACTGAATTCTCTATACTCACATTTATACAGTGAAACATGACCACACAAACATTCTTTTAATAAACTCAGCACCACCTTATGTTTATTAACACCTGCCAATGGTTTTCTAAATTGAAAAACTGGACCAACATCATTGCATTGTTACAGATTAATTTAGTGTTAAATAAATTGGTTTGCAGAGTTTAAGCAAATGGTATGAATTCAACAGTACAGTACCAGAACTGTATACAACATACCATTTTTTAGCTTATTTTTGGAATATGATCTTGTGTTTATGCTTAGGCTTTCCTGGATTGAGATCTTCCTATCAAAGCTTTGTACATAGCTGAGATGACAGACAGATGCCAACTTGACTAGCTATTGGATGAGATGTGATCATTGTTAAGTCTACAGGGAACCTACCCCCTACGCCCATCTCCTTCACCAGTCTGAACCCAGTAATCACCTGAATGTCCATCACCTAACTGTGTGTCAGAAAAGGATCCTTGGATCTGAGATTACTTCCTCCAATTCTATTTTCTATTGTGACTTATCCATTTTAATTTTTTTTCTGAAATAGTCCAGGGGCTTAAACTAAGGATCTATGCACTCTCCTGAGCTTTATGTTGGATCAAAAGGCTAATAAACACCATATATGACTAAGCTTATATTAAAATGAAATGGTAAATTAATATATATAAGATAAACTGATAAGAGAACCTACTAATGCTCGTGTGTGTGTGTGTGTGTGTGTGTGTGTGTGTGTGTGTGTGTGTGTGTGTTTTATAAGAGCACACTGTTAATACTCTATTCACTATAAACATTAGAAAATTATCTAGGATGATATTTTTAGGGTAGTAAGTTCTGTAGAATCGATGACATAAGCTTCCACATTCCAGGATCTTGAAGGTGTTCTGTTCTTGTTTGTTGAACCATGAGCTTTGAAAGCAAACCCTCCTATATCTGAATTGCCAACAGGGAAGTAGCAGTCTAAAACTACATACATATCATTGAATCAGAAGGTAATAGTTTTTTTCATAAACAATAAGATAATTACAGAAGGGATGAACACACAACAATTAAGTATCTAGAGTGAAAGGGAAACAAAAAAGTAAGCTTTTTTTTTTGGAGGGGCGTCCTGTCGTGAGGCCTGAAATCTGAGCCTGGGTGCTGTTCCTCAGCTCTTCAGCTCAAGGCTAGTACCTACCACTTGAGCCATAGCACCACTTATGGCTTTTTTTCTGCTTATGTGGTGCTGAGGAATCAAACCCAGGGCCTCATGCATGCAAGGGAATGCTCTACCACTGAGCCACCTTCCCAGCACCAAAAGTAAGCATTTTTTTAACTCCATATGATAATTTCACAGGGGATGAAAGAACTACAGTTAAGTATCCAAAAAGAGCCATCAGAGCTGCACAGCATCCTGTTATATTGTCACAATTGTTAGCTCTTGTTAACTTCTCAGTATGCCTAATATATAAATTAAGCTTTGCCATAGTTATTATTGTGAAACTCTTAGCCTACCATAGTATTCTGTTCATTTGTAGACCCCCAAAAGATGACTTACTTCTTCTATTTAAAGACATGCCTTCAGCTTTAGTGTTCAACCATGCATTTTCAGTCTTCTCCATTATTAACAGCTCTTTCTCTGAGTATACGTTTTTTCCCCCCTTGTTTAGGAAATGATACTGAAAGTTAAAGAATCCAATCTAATAGAAAGTATAAACACCCCTATGCTTGAGGAGAGAGGTGTTTGTATTTTTTCCTCCCAGGATGGATAACAGGACCTATTAATAAAAAGGCTGCTCTAGAACTTTGTGTCACTGAATCTAGTACTGCTTTTTTGTTCTAGCTGTTCCTGGGGCTTGAACTTAGGGCATGAGCCCTGTTCTTGTGGGATTTTTTTTCTTCTACCACGTGACCACAACTCCACTTTGGTGGTTAATTGGAGATAAGAGTCGCTTGGATTTTTCTCTTCGTCCTGGCTATGCATTATCCTCAGAACTCAGCCTGCTGAGTAGCAAGGATTACTGGTAAAACAACAGTGCCCACTGCTTTAAGTGTTGTTTTTTATTGTTATTCTGAGCTCCACCTCCTTTCAGGGTGAAAAGTAGTCACTGGGGATTCAGTTTTGCATGGGTTTATTTGTATAGCAATTTTTAAATATTTATTTGCTCTCTTGTTACATTGTTGCTACTTTATCTTATCTTCATTTAGTATTGGTTTCTACATTTTACATTTTATTATTACCAACATATTTCATGAAAAAATGGGATTACTGCACCGAGAAATTCAAATTAGTACAGTATTAATGGTTTGCCTCATTTGAGAAAGGTTCTCTTCCATAGAGTTCCCAACCCATAGAGAGTCTCTTCACTTAGGACACCAGGCTACCACTGAAAAAATGGGGCCTGACAGGAAATTGGACAGCACCAGTGGGGTATCTCCAGATAAGGGAACTCTTAGCCACATTCCAAAAACTCACACTGCCATCGTCAAGATCAAGAAACACACCAACCCGGCCCAGAGGCTTCTCTACATATTGAGGCAGCAGCGGGGATGTGGTAAAAATGGTGGAAAGTGTGTTCTCTTTCACAAACAAAAGGAGGAAAAGATCCTCAGATTCAGTGAGGTTGCTCCCTATGGAGGAATCCCTAATAAATCCCAGGGCACAGGTGGAAGAGTCATCCACACTAACCTCCCAGTAATGTTTCCCGGAGCTGAAGACTTGGTGTCCAAAAGCAGTAAAGTGGAAGGACTCTTCAGAATTCAAAACTGCATAGGGATTGTCGTGTCCAACACAACTCCCAAAATCTTGATTCTCCGTAGCGTCATTGAAGGCAATCTCCACCCAGTGCTGGGTGAGCCTCTCTATCAGTCCAGGAATGGGAGGGCCACTGAGCTCTGGCCTCAGAGGAAGAGGCAGGAAGAACAAGACTGACTCACAGCTTTCTAGGATCAACTCTACATCCTGAAGCAGTTCCACATCTGGCTTCTGGTATGTTTTGATCAGCTCCTGATACATATTCCTGAGCTGATGCTTCTTCTGAAGCATTTGGGTTTCCCTTTCTCTGAGTTGCAGTAACATGGCTCTTCCTTCATTGATCAGTAGCTGGGAATTGTGTCTTTCCTCCTCCTGGACACCCAGCTCTAAAAACAGCACTCTAAAAACATCCTTAGTTATGCCTCGGAATAACTTCACATACCAAATCCATCGGTTGATGAGTCTCCTCTTCTCCTGTAAATTGTGCTGGTTTTCTTGAGTCTTTTCCCATACAGTAGGCATCTGCTTTGAAATCATCTCCCTCTGCTCCTCAGCAGCCTTATCTATGGGATGGTGTTTGTGAGCCCTGTGCTCCTGAGACTGGGAGCAGCTCCTACAGAGCAGGGCCATGTCTACCTCACAGAACATCTGCTTTGTCTCCCTGTGTGTCCCACACATGTATTCCTCAGAGCTCAGAAAATGCCTGAGGCTGGCTCTTCTGGCAATGGCCACCAGGCTCCTCAGAACCACATTGGTTTTGAGGTCTCTCTGCTGGCAGGGTCCCCTGCACACAGGGCACCTGGCTGGAATCTGGGTCTCTTCCCAGCTGAGGCAGAGACAAGGTCGACAAAAACTGTGCCCGCACTCTAAGGTGACTGGCTCTATAAAAGTATTTATACAGATGGCACATCTCAATTCCTTCTGAAAGGCCTGGGCAGTGTCAGGGTCCATCATTCCTAGAATCTAATGAGGTGCTGGTGGCTCACCCATAGAAGCCTAGCTACTCAAGAGGTTGAGAGCTAAGGATCAAGCTTTGAAACCGCCTCGGCCACAAAAGTCCCCCTGACACAGATTCTTATCTCCAATTAACCACTCCAAAATCACAAGTGGGCTGTGGCTCAAGTGGTAAAAGCACTAGCTTTGACCACAAAGTGGCCCAGGGACAATGCCCAGTCTTCAGCACAAAGTGACCCAGCAACACTGCCCTACCACTGGGTTCAATCCCTGCAACCGACAAAACAATACCACTACCAACACCACCAAACCAAGGAGAGAAGAATTAAAAGAGGAGTAGATTCTCTCACTCTAATCCTCACCTGGAGTATCCAAGCTCCAAATGGCCTCCAGCCTGCTGATGTAGGATCTTCAGCAATGCCTGAGTCTCAGAATTCCACTCTATTTATACTGAAAGAGGGTGGGCCCAGGAAAGGAAGTCTCTGATTGGTTGCTTAGGGAAGCTGATTTACATATCAATAGGAGTTGGAATTTACATCCTGTCCACCACACCTTTCACTTCCTCTTTCAAGGACCTACTTCTTACAATTTGGTTAGGTTATTTGGGTTAGGTGCAACGTAGGTTTGTCCAGGATTGGAAAAGTTTATTGTGTTTGTTTTATTTTGTTTTGTTTTGTTTTTTACTTCTGTGTATGTTTTGTAATGGAACTATGCGTTTATTACTTTTCCACAGGACTGTAGGCCATATTACTGACATTATCCACTGTATCTTATGGGTCTTCAAAAGTAGCTGAGTTCATATTTCTTAACAGGTTATCATCCTATACTTTTTTTATTTGTAATTTGTCAGGCCTGATGTTGGGCTGGTACTTTACCACTTAAGCCTTGTCCTCTCTGTGTTTGCTTTTGTTTTTGGAATAGAAACTTGTGTTTATTCTTAGACTCTTCTGGACTGAGTTCTTCCAATTCACACTTTGCTCAAAGCTGAGATGACAAGAATTATCTCTTGCTTGAGTTGTGATCAGGATTAAATCTGCCCACAGAAACGCCCCTCCCAGCTTTCCCATCACCTGCCTGAATCATACCAGTAATCACCTGACTGTCGTTGATCACCTGACTATGAGTGAACAAAGATCCTAGGCTCGGAGATCATTTCCTCTTGTCTATTGTCTATACTGACTCATCCTTGCGATGTTGTTGTTCTTGTTGTTTGTCTGTCAGTGCTGGACTTGAACTCAGGGTAGAGGATCTGTCCCTGAGCTCTTCTTCCACTCTATTTCTCTTATCTTTATTTCAAATATCATTTATGCCTTTTTATTATAAAATGATGTGGTATTCTGATATATAATTTAATAACTCAATGCCGTTATTGAGAATGATCTAAAAAATTATCATAGACATAAATATACATATATATATACATATATCTATATACATTGACTTTCAAGAGCACATTATTAATATTCAATTTGCTATAAATTTTATCCTATCAGAATATTCTCTTTAGGGTTATAGATTCTGTAGTGTCCCTGTCGTAACCTTTCCCATTTGTGGTTTTGTGACTATAATCATTCTTGTACATTTCTTGCTGTTGATCCATTAGCTTTGAAAGCATAATCTCCTATCTGAATTGCCAGCAGAGAAATAGTAGCCTAACACTATGTTTGCATCTTTGACTCTCAGGCATTGACTCTCAGTCTTTTTTTAAATTTTTCTTTTTAAAAAATTTTTTGTCATTAGTGCTGCGGAACTCTGGGTCTGTGGGAAACCTCAGCTCTTCAGCTCAAGGTGAGCCCTCTACCACTTAAGCCACAGCACCACTTCCAGCTTTCTAGTGGTTTATTGGAGATGAGTGTCTACGACTTTCCTGCCCGGGCCAGATTTGAACTGAGATCTCAGAGCTGTTTCCTGAGTAGCTAGGGTTACAGGGGTGCACCACTGGTGCTGGATAAGCATTATGTTTTATCTTCATATGATAATGACAGTGGGGATGAATGCACAATAATTGGGTACATAGAGTGAATAACGGACACCAACAAAGAACCATCACAACTGGACAGCAAACTGTTGTATTGTTACAATTGTTGACTATTGTTAACCACTCAGTATGCCTAATGGATAAATTGAGCTTTGCCATTGTTATTATTAATCTTTTAGCCTGAATTAATGTTCTCCTCATTTTTACCCCAAAAATTATGACTTTTTTATTCTGAAGCCATTCTTTCATCTTTAGCGTTCAACCCTGCATTTTCTTTCTTCTCCATTATTACCAGCTATTTCTCTAAGTATTCCAATTTGTTTTATTTTATTTTATTTTTAGGAATTAGTACTGAAACTTAAAGAATCCAATCTAATAGAAAGTTTAACACCCCAATGGTCTAGTATAGAGGTGTTTCTGTTTTTTTCTTCCCAGGATCTAGTAATCAAAAGTCTGCTCTAGAACTTTGTGTCACTGAAACCAGTACTGCTTTTTTGTTCTCGAAATTACTGGGGCTTGAAGTTAGGGCATGAGCACTATTTGTGAGGGTTTGTTGTTGTTGTTGTTGTTGTTGTTGTTTGCTTTTTTTTTCTCCTACGACTTGGACCACAGCTCCACTTTGGTGGTTAATTGAAGATGAGTCTTTTGGACTTTCCTATATGAACTGGCTATGAACTGCCATCCTCAGAGCTCAGGCTGCTGAGTAGCAAGGATTACTGGGAAAACAACAATGCCCACTGAATTAAATGTTTTTTTGTTTTGTTTTGTTTTGTTTTTTGCTGTTATTCTGAGATCCACCTTCTTTCATGGTGAAAAGCAGTCATTGGGGACTGCTTTTTTCATGAGTTTATTTTTATGGCAATTTTTAAATATTTCTGGCTCTGTTGTTGCATTGTTGCTACTTTATCTTACCTTCATTTTTTACATGTTATGTTTTATTATATGTTACCTCCATATTTCATAACAAAATGGGATTACTGTGCATAAAATTCAAATTAGTAAATTATTAATGGTTTGCTTCATTTGAGAAAGGTTCTCTGCTATAGAGTTCCCAACGTATAGAATCTTCACTAATAGTGGTTTATCATTGGAGAAAAAGGGTCTGCCAGGAAGTTGGAAATAGCCAATGGCGTATCTCCGGAGAAGGGAACTCTTAACCACATTCCAAAAACTCACACTGCCATTGTCAAGATAAAGAAACACCACAACCCCAAGAGACTTCTCTATATAATGTGTCAGCAATGGGGAGGTGTTAAAAAAAAAAAAAGTGTAAAGAAAGTTCCCTTTCACAAAAAGAGGAGGAATAGGCCCTCTGGTTCAGGGCAGTGGGCCAAGGAAAGGGTATGTACCTGAGTTCTCATTTAGGGAAGTTGATTTACATATCATCTGGAGTTGGACTTTCCATCCTGGAAACCACACCTTTAACTTCCTCTTTCATGGAAATGCCTCTTACAATTTTCTTAGACAGTGACAAGTGTTTATTTTGGCTAGGTGAAAGTTAAATTTGTACAGGATTTGAAAACCGTTTTTTTTTTTTTCTTACCTTTTTGAATCTTTTATTTTTGTACTATGAATTAATTACTTTTCCACCAGAATGTAGGTGACTTTTTATCTTGTGGTTTTGAAAATTAGCTGAGCTTTCATTGTGGAGATATTAGATGATCATCCAAGTTTTTTATTTGTAAATTGTCATGCCTCCTGCTTGTCTGGTTCTTCACCACTTGAACCATTTCAATCTTTTTATTCTCATTGGACTTCTAATCTCATAAAAAATACTGTATTAATTTTCTATTGGTAATGTAGTTCCCCAATTTTAATTTATGCAAGAATTCTGAACTGATTTAAAAAATGAAGGACATTTTAAAGTAATTCTTTAAAAAGCTATGAATATGGAGCTGTATATAATTCATTACTTTTGATTAATTTTTCACACCTCAGTTGTAGAGTATGATCAAAGGTGATTTTTACACTAATCTTTTTCTTTGAGGAATTTTTTTAATTAAGAATATTTTAGAGATATTATTGTTAGTTCAGCTATTTTTCTCCTTCATAAGGAATGTGATTTTAAGTTAATACACAGAAAATCTAAGACAGATGATACATTTGGAATTTAGATCAATTTGTGTAATTACTTTTTTATTTAAATACTGAATAGTTGTTTCTGAATTTTCAATTTATTACCTGAGTCAAAGGCATATCATTACACTTGCAGAATCTAATCCACTGTACAAAGTTAAGTAACATATTAGTTTGAATTTTATTTTTTTGTTCAACAATAATATTCAAGAGGTATCATTTCAGTAGGTTTCACTGAAAAATTATTAAGATATGCCATATCTACAGATATTTCATAATTCTATATTCTTATTTTTGGATTACATTTCTGTAATCCATGTGTCTGTACTCCAATTGTGTTAGACTTCCAATTATTCATCTCACATCTTTGCTTTGTTCCAGGATTTCAGCATTAATGTTTTCTTGTTTTCCGTGGTTTTTATTATTTTTTCATCTCACTATCACCGTTGTAACTTTTTAACATACAAAAAAGAAAATTCACTATTGCCCAGCTCAGCATTCCTTACATTTTCAAAAACCGAGTGACGCTAGTGACATACAACATACATCATGAAATGACTGATATAATGTATACAATACAGTAATATCAAAATATTGCATAAAAATGTAAAAAATGTAATGTTATGAAATTAAAATACACTATTATTAAACTGTGACATCAAACATTTTCTATTATTATCATAATATAATAATATAAAACCCTGCCATCACTCTCCAACTTCCTTTGTAAAGCATTTACACTTTGTGGAAACCTACACCTGAGCCCCTTTCCTGGTAATGAATGGACTGTTAAATGTCTCTAGAATTTGGGCCAGTTCCCAGAAGCCTCTGGTATGTTTGGCTCCTCCCCTGTCTCACTCATTATAATTAGGCCTGAGAGTATGCCACCTGATCCTCTTGCGACAAAGTAAGTTAGAAGACAAGAGCCCCGTTCCCCAGCTGG